AACTTTCAGTGGGTTTAAGACGTAATGGAGGAAGCCAGATGATTCCCTCAGGGGTTGGGAGCACTGGCTGCTCCCTCAGGGAGCAGAGTTCAGCTCCTGGCCCTCACATCAGGATGCTCACAGCCGCCAGCTTATCTGACGCCCTCTTCTGGCCCCCATGGGTGCCTGCACTCACATAACTATACATACACAAAATTAAAGAGAAAAAACATTTTCTCTTTAAAGATGTCGGTGGGAAGACAGGGTGCAGTAAGGTGGCTCAGAGGGTCCAGGTGCTTGCCACTAAGACCGAGGGCTCGATTTCCATCCCTGGGACCCATGGAAGGGAGAAGAGAACAAGCTCTCACGTTGTCCTCTGGCCACAGACGCACGCCATGACATACACGGAGTAAAAATTACAATAAGGGAGGCAGAGAAGCCGGGCGGTGGTTAAGAGTGTGACTTCCAATACTCACAACCATTGTAATTCTAGTTCCAGGGGACACAATACCCTCTTTGGGCACTTATCCTCATGTGTGCGTACACACACACACACACACACACACACACACACACACACACACTTAAAAAATAATTTTTAAAAGAAAATCTTTGACTTAGGATGGGAAAGGTTTCTGTTTATTTGGTCCACATAGTTCTTAATCCTGGGGCTGGAACCCGGGGCCTTGTGACCCTTAGCAAGGACTCTGCCACTGCACTACACACCCACATTTTGTTTGGTTTTGACAGAGGATCCCACCAACTCCCCCAGGCTGGCCTAGAATTCACTTGGTAGTCCAAGCAGGCTTTGAACCTGTGGTCCTCCTGTCCAGCTGGAGAAAGGCTCCTCTAACGAGAAATAACACATTAAGAAAAAAAATTAGATTTGCCAGAATGACACAATTGAAGGGGATAATGCCGCATCTTGCATGAATGTCTGGGAAGAATAAAAAGAAAAGTAAATAGAAATGCCTACATGGAACAAAACACGGAATAGAAAGTCCTGCATTCTCCAGCTTGCCGGAAACCTGGGGAAAGGACACCGGAGACCAGCTAGAATCCCGGGAGCCTGTGGAAGCCACCAGAACAGCTTGAAAGGACAGGGGAAGCTAAGGTCGTTAGTGAACAATGGTTCTCTCCTAGAACGAAGGTCCTAACCCACAGCGGGAATAGCGGAGAACTGGTCTGAAACCCAGCATGTTGCCACAGGCAACAGAAGTCACAGTTGGAAAATTCATAGGAACAACGGTGCTAGTCTTGAGAACGTATCTCTTTTGGGAAACTGTGAGAAGTAAAATAATTGTTCCTGACAATAAACAGAAGAATCGGGAGGCGTTTGACTGTAAGAAGAACACACCAGGCCAGGTGTGGAGGTCACACCGGTAACCGCCGCACCCCAGGAGCTACAGCAGGAAGGATAAGCGGTTCAAGGCCAGCGGACTACAGAGTGCATTGCAGGTTAGCCTGGACTGCAGTGTGAGACGATCTCACTTCGTGTGTGTGTGTGTGTGTGTGTGTGTGTGTGTGTGTGTGTCACACACACACCTGAGAGAGAGAGGAAGGAAGGAAGGAAGGAAGGAAGGAAGGAAGGAAGGAAGGAAGGAAGGAAGGAAGGGGAGGAGAAGGCTGGCGTGATGGACACATCTGTAATCCCAGAACTTGGAGGCAGGTAGACCGGGAACTCACGAAAGTCATTCTTCACTGCATGGAGAATTCAAGGCCGGCCTGAAAAGAACCAACAAAACAGAACGTCAGAATCCAGAAAACGGCAACTCACTGTAGTAACAGAAGATGGCGCCCTTGAGCTGGAAAAAAACTAGGAAAATCGTTGAACCCCTGCCCATGGTCTTCTAAAGACGCAAATGTTAAAGGCTGATTTGGGAAGAGCACCCCCATTTGTTATCCAATGTCAAATGGTCAGCCCTGAAAACATACATACAGGGGTAACGTTGTTGTCGCGGTCATGAAGGTGGATACACGTACTTAGTATAACGAAAGTTGTATTTTATTACTCTGGGGCATCACACAAGGCTCACACTCTACATTCCTGACTACAGTCCTAAGCCTCTGTCCCCAAGGCTGCTCACCTGTGTGGTGTAACAGAAGTCTCTGATTTGAGGGTCAAAGGCATTTTTTACTATGCTTGTTACAATTATACAGGCTGAGCAGGTTGGATTTATGTATTTAGGAATGCAGGTGTTTATATGTGTGTGTGCGTTTGAATGTATGTACATACATACATACATGTGTGCCCACGCACAAACGTATAAAACAACTAAGTTTGATTTTGAAAGGGGGAGGGTACATGGGAGGGTTTGGAGGGGGAAAAGGGAAGAGATAGTGTAATTAGAATCTCAAAAAAATTATTAAAAAGAAAAAAGCTGGTTCAGAAAAAATCTGATAAATTAAATTTTAATAAAAAATTTAGTATCTATAATAAAGAAAAATAAATAAATAAATAAACTTAGTATCTAAAATTATAGTAAGTGCACACATGTGCATGTACACACACACACACACACACACACAAAGAACCACAATAAGTTTTGGTTTTTTTGTTTTAGTTTGGGTTTTTCCAAGACAGAGTCTCATTATGTAGCCCTGATTGTCCTGGATCTTACTCTGTAGACCAGGCTGGCCTCAAACTCACCGAGATCCACTTGCCTCTGCCTCCCAAGGGCTAGGATTAAAGGCATGCACCACCACACCTAGCTAGAACTGTAAGTTTTTATGATAGCAGGACAAATATTGTTTCAAAGCAGAAAATGAAATAAACTGACAAGGTACACAGCCATGGGGATGCTCTCTGTGCCCAGCTGCCCTCCAGGGTTAAAGGGCATGTTTCATGCTGCAGATAATGTTAGGCTTTTTCTGGGAATTTCCTTTAGGCAAAGGGAACCCCCTCACCCAAGGTCACCCCTTTTCCTCAAGGTGTTGACTGGCAACAGTGACTTCCATGCAGGTTATGAAGTCCTTATCAGCAGGTAAAGGTCCCTGAAGGGCCAGTCTGTTTCAGAGTTCATGTGTGGGCCAGCTGCTCGCTCCTGTGATCTGAACACTTGGGAACAGGACGATCAGGGGTTCACGGTCATCTCCAGCTACACAGCCAGTCTGGAGCCGGCTTGGGGGTACATGTGATTCTATCTAAAGACAACCACAGCAACCCAAAGAGATTTTGTTTCAACACTTCCTTATGGCATCAGCTGAGACCAAGGAGGCCAGTGACGTGGGGCAGCTGCCTCCAGCTAGCCCGAGAACCAACTGTTGCATGGAAATTTTTCATTATCAAAACTTAAATGATATGAAATTTGACTTTGCTGAGACCCCAGCTTGCACTATATAGCCCAGGCTGGCCTAGAACTCACTATATAAGCAAGGCTCAGAAGGAACTCAAGAGTCTCTTGTTTCAGCAGCCCAGATGGGTTTACACTCCACCACACCCAGACGAAAAGTCAAATTCAAATAAATTATATTCAAAACCAAAGTCACAAACACCCAGCAGTTACCTTTCCTTATTACTGTGCTATCTCTGCTGTTATCTGTGTTCTGGAGCAGTCAGCCAGAGACGCAAGCATTCACAAACCGAAAGCAGCCAAAGGCTACAGATCAAAGTTTTTGTCCCGGCGAGAGCTGGTGGTTACCCATTAACCGCTGCTGCCTCCCTCCAGGTCCTCTTCCTCGGGTGAGGGCTCTCTCTAGCAAGCACCCGGCACACACCCTTCTCGCACACTCAAATCAACAAAAAAGGATATCTAGGGAAAATCATGTGGAAACAGGGGGACAGAGACTAAGTCCGTCCCCTCCCTCAGAGAGATCAACCCAGGGCTAAGCATGGTGGACAAGCGTTCTGCTGCTGAGCCATAATCTCCACCCCAAATCAGAAATTCAAAAACTCAGAAACAATACAGTGGACCAGGAGAGTCTGCTCCTGTCAGTGCCTGCTGCTCCTCCAGGGGACTGAGTTTGGATCCCAGTGCCCACGTGACCGCCCAGAACTGCCTGTAATTCCAGT